GGGAATTTTGGAACATGAAGAACATCAGAAAGAGTAAAGCCGAAGGGAAGAGAGAGAGTTCCTTGACCAGCTATGGAAGTGTATGATCCATCAACCAATCTCACTTTATCTTTTCCAGAAAGAGGGTGATAAGTTTGAAAGTAAGAGGACATACCAGTCATGTGTTTTGACGCTCCAGAATCAATGATCCATGGAGGGTCAAGGTATTGAGAAGCAACATGGAAAGCTGTGGCAGGATTACCTGATGTGGATGCAAAAGAGGTGGTGGGAGGAGCATCCACCTGGCGAATTGCTCTACCATAAAGCTCCAAATGGTCACGGAAGGAGTTTACAATATCCTCCCTTGGGTCAGATCCAGAGTAGCTATATTGGCCATGTGGTGTTTGAGTCACAGTAGAAGTGGGGGGCTGATTCTCCCGAGTAACCATGTTGGCCATGTGGTGTTTTTGGGTACCTTGTTGCCCGGGCCTTCTACTTACATCTGAGGCTTGCTTCTTAGGTAGATCCTGAGCCCACTTTGGTTTCCCATAGAGATCCCAACAAGTATCTTCGGTGTGCCGGGGCTTCTGACAATTTGTGCACCATAATTTTTCCTTGTCTTCTGCTTTCTTCTATAGATCCCCTTGTTGAAGTTCAGAATATGTGGATTTTGCCTGTTCCCATATCTCATTTGCAGTTTCAGCCCACATGAAGTTCTTCCTTATTTTCGGTTGCATGGAGATCAAAAGCCATGACATAACCATACTATTCTCCTGATCCCATCTATCATGTTCTGCATTTCCAGAAGGTGGTTCTTTGATCATTCCATTTATGTAGCCGGTTTTTTCCCTTGCAGTTATGTATAACTTGATCCCTCTTGACCACTCTAGGTAATTTAACCCATCAAGAGGAACAACAGTCATAGGGAAGGATAGGTCACTGCTCCCACTCATTCCATTCAGAATTGTGGAGATTCTGGATATAGCTGAATCTTCACAATTCATGATTCTAGGTTTAGAAGTACACAAAAAACAAAGGCACACTGCCTAACGGAGCTGCTACAGTCCACAACTAGGCACTTACTGATTTTCGGTTTCACAGAGAACCAAACACAAACACTACAGCTGCAGTACTAGTTTGTATGACCTACACTTTGTACGAGTCCACAGAACAATAATACGAACACTGCACTTGCAGTGTAACTAGGTCTGAATGACCTATAGTTTTACAACTTTCATGAAGCTCTCTCAGTAGGAGCAGCAACACAGGCGTTGGTTCACCACACCTAATCGGCTGATATTCACTTTCCAGGGCAGCCGAACAGTCACTTAGGGTTTAGGGTTCATCAACATTCCCTTAGAGAGCTAATAGAGCAACACACAATTGGAGGGAAAAACAATAGCCGAACAGTCCTTACTCAGATTTTAGGACATGAACAGTCCATCGAAATAGTGCAAGAAGAGAGCCATAAACAGAGAAACTTCAGTTCAGTACCTAGGTCACCCGAACTGTGAATAAGCAGTACACTCATGGATCCAATATTCTCTGCAGGCCAGATTCCTTATTTGAACCTCTGGGATGGTTTTCTACAGTCTTCTTAGCCGAGCAACTCCAGCTGGAGAGTGAAGAAGGAAAAAAAAACTTGTAGCAGAACCCTTTTCTGCGCTAGGAAGTTGAACAGTCAGCTTTCTTGTAGCAGAACCCTACTCAGCAGTGGAGACTAACCGCGGCACTAGAGAATGTTTCCTCTTCCTTGTCTTCGAGCATCAGGACTATGGCATCAACGCAGCAGTGGAGAGAGGCCTCAGCTGGTTGTTTTCAGGCCTGGTCGGTTCCGCTCTGATACCAAGTTGAGCAGAAAGAAGAAGAAGAAGAAAGGAAGGAGGAAGAAGAAGAAGAAGAAGAAGAGAAGAGGCTGCAGATTTAAGGCCTCAAAAGAACTGCTTCATGAAAGTGAAGCATTTGTATTTATACTATGCTGGCCGTACAATACGAGAGGTCTACAAAATTACGAAAATACCCCTGCAGGCACTAAACCTGTGTACGGTACATATAATACACCTGTCAACAAAGGCTACTTTGGAAGGGACTACAGAATGGCCTCTGGAAATCTTTCCAACTCCCCAACACTCTCATTTGAACTGTTGTAAAAAGATCTGACTGAAAATAATCATGACTTTTCCAGTAACCATACCTTTTATCTCTTCTTGTCTGATCAGGTGTGGAATTGCCAACATTTGCATTAGTTCCATCCACTGCCCTATCTCCCAGTCATTTAGATTTCATCAAAAAATCGGACACCACTCACTTGAACTTGTTCCTTGGAAAAAAGCTTCAGCAATCAAGAAGGGCAGCCCAGTACACGCCCACCAATATGGGATCTGGGGAGGAACAGATGTGATCTCAAATAGTGTAGGGAAGAGCTGTTTAAGGGGTTGGTCTCCGTGCCAGGGATCATACCAAAATTTTATCCTCGAGCCATCTCCCACCACATACTTAATTCCCTTTCTGAAATCACTTAGATATTTCTGAACACCCCTCCACAATGCACACCCATAAGGCAAATTAGTCTCAGCTGGCTCCCAACTCAAATTGCTTTCTCCATACTTTGCCTGATTTATTCTCCTCCAAGAGGGCATTGGGTTGTTCATTCCATCTCCAAAACCAACTCTTAGGTATGATTCATGAGATAAGAAAGCCACTCAGAAGATCTCCTCATATCCAATCCACGGACCATGATGATCATTGAGTCACCTTCAACAAAAAAGTTCCTCTATGGTAAATCCTTTTGCAATTTCATCCCTTGAAGAGTGGCTTAAATTTCATCCTTTTTGACTATAAAAAATGTGATTAAACATTTCAATATTACTGTAATAGAATATTTTTATTTGTTAGTGGCATTAGTTTAGTACAAGTTCTTTATGATAAATCCTTTTGTGATTTCATCCCTTGAAGAGTGGCTTAAACTTCATCCTTTTTTGCTATAAAAAAGTGATCAAACAGTTTTGGCCATAAAAAAAGTGATCAAACAGTTCAGTACCACTGTAGTAGAATATTTTTATTTGTTAGTGGCATAAATTTGGTGCAAGTTCTTTTACCGAGACTGTACCATCACAAAAAGTTAAATGCATTCCTTGCTACTAAATTAATGATAATAGACAGTAGTCAGTAAATAATATACAGGGAAATTTTCATTCAGGCAAAGTCCAAATGACAGCTTATGCAATAAATTACAATAGATTTCCACGCTGAAACCCCACTCCTATTGATACCAACAATGGATGATCCTTCAAGGGTTTCGATATCAAACCTTGGAAATACTCGACTTGTATTATGGGAGTTGAGGAAGCAATTCCAGATCCTCCTGCTGCAGTCACAATGCATGAAGGTATAATCAGTGAATCTACCTCCTGATTGCAAAATATACAGCCTGTGAAAGGG